AGAGACTTTTATTTTGAAGATCACAGGTTAAAACACATTTAATACCAACATAAGGTATTAATACATTTGATTTCACTGGAGTAAATTGGGTATATTTTCACATTCCTATTAAGTGTTGCTGTGATGTTTAACTGTCATCGTCTTATTTTGCAAACTAAACATGTTGCTTTACTTCCTGTTTTGGTTCCTGACACTTTTCCTCTGAATTAACATTTGTGTTACATATGTGACAATGTTAAGGAATGTACTGATCTGTACATTTTGCCTCAACCAATACCTTGCATTAAACAGCTGACAGACATTGTGAGTGTGACATATAAATGATCCGTACTATAAATTGTTTGCTGTGATGAAAAACCTCTCTTCCTCTAAGTAGCCACAGCTGCCAACATTTGAGAGATTGCATGTCAAGGGAGCACCGGCGTCAAACGCAGCGACTGAATTGAGGTGACAGGATGGGCAGATGTCAGATTGACAGACAGCAAATCCAAGCAGGCCCCTGATTAAGTTAATGACAGCAGCCATCATTCTAATGGGATTGTGTTCACTGACAAATGCTGGAGCACACACATACACCCAGGGAAACTTGCACACAAACACATAAACACTTGCAAAAGCATAGCCGGAGGAGACAAGTTGGCCTAGTGAGAGGGAAGGAGAAATGCCACCAGTGAGAGAGGCGGTATCTCTCCTGCTTATTTCAAGCACAACACAGCCTCAACTGTACAGCTGAAGGGGAGGAAATACAGAAGATTTCAGTGGGTTTTAAAATGCTCTGGCATGGTGTCTTACAGTATTCAACCGACTCAAAGGAAAATTCAACCCTTAAACATTTTGTTTGTAGTGGTGTGATACAGAAAATGTCATATCATAATGAAAATCAATCAGAAAACAGAAAGAAAATATCTCATCAATAGCAGCCACTCTAGTTTATAATGGAAACTGGTTGTATATTGAGCAATAGGTGGCATCAACAGGAAAAAAATGCATATCAAATATTAGATGTTGTTGAAATGCAGTCTGGGAAATGTAGGACAATTCATTTCACAACAGTAAAGACACGGAGTGCATGGGTTACTATAGAAACCAGAGGGTAACTTCATTATGTAAAGAGTATGAGTTGACTATAAGTTATGAATTTTCCAGCCTGGGCTAAACAATGTTCACCAAAATACAGTGTTTTGGCAATTAACATGAAAACCAAGATGCTATCAACTCTGACTTACAATATGAGTGATGCTATATACTGTATTTGGCCTGTAGACCAGTGCCTGTAGACCACTTCTTAAAATGTTAGCCATTATCACAGGTTATGGTTATATGGAGTGTGGACATGCTGTGAACAGCTGAATCAAGTATTGACTTTCTTAAAAAGGTTTCATTTAAAGGATTCTTTGAGGACTGAAGAGGTGATGGCACCCAGCATTTCTCAAGAAATTAGCAAAGACTTGAGAAATGTCAGATTAGACATACATTTTGTGTAAGAAAAATACTTTTTTCTTTCTTTTCCTTAGATTTTCCTTAGAACAAGAGGTGAAATTCAGTGTATTTACTACAGTACCGTACTTACAGTAATTACCGTTTAGAGGCATTTGTACTTTACTTCATAAAACAAAACATATGATAAACTTCTAAAACATGTCATGGCACCAAATCATTCAGTCACTCATGTAATGTCAAGTTTTCTAAAATCTGCTTTTTCCATAAATCACCTGCGGCAATTTATGTTTTTCTTTCTTGGTTTATTTCATTGACTTCTATGATATATAATATTATACATTTGTTTACTTTTGTTACTTTGAATACATCTTATTGTACTTAATTACTTCTTTTCTTTCAGTTTCGTAAATTGTTAAATACAGGACTTTTACTTGTATTACATTACTTTATATTGTTGTATTACTTCTTTTACTAAATTAAAAGGATCTGAATACTTGGGAACCGTGGCTGAGATAATGCCATGCGTCTGCTACTCCCATGTCATTTGGGTTGAATGTGTATTCCTGCAGTGCTCAGCTGTTTTTCATGGAGGGGGCACGTTCAGGGAAAATGGGGCTGCCAAAAATGCTATTTGCAGTATCTAATGACAAAATAACTAGAATTTGATGTACAAGTATTGTTTCTTTATGCACCTGTGCACATTTTCTGTTTTTCAGTTTCTAATGACACACTGGCTCAGTTGAATGGCTCATAAAGTTGAAGCACTGCTGTGTGAAAAAAGGAGAGTGCTGCCTGTTGAATAGTGTACCAAGAGGCTAAGATCCTGATAGATGGAAGGTCTGCAACAGGCTTCTAGTCTTTTGTATGGTGTGGCTTAATGCTCATGGACTTCCTACCACTGTTGCTCGGTTTCCATTCATCATCATGTCTCTCTCATACACATCAGGCCATTCAATTTCTCTCTTTCTCTCAGACAGATAGAAATCTATAACCTCTCACACAATCGTTCTCTTACATGATCACTTCATGCTGTGTGTAATCAGCCCTTCCAAATGGAATAAGGGAGAGACAGAGGGAGAAGAGGGAGGGATGAAAGACAGAGGAGGAAGAGAGGATGATAGGAAACAAAGGAGGGAGGATACTCAAGGTGGCAAGTCAGAAATACTGTATTAGATTAGTGCCGGTCAGGTCAAGAACATTACAGATGCTGCAGTCGTCCTTTCCCTACTTCCATTTTGAGTCATGATACCGCTAAGTGGACCCTGTGACTATTAACCTACATAAATTGATCACCTTAACGCTGGCTCAATTCCACTTCATTACCCAGAATGCCATTTACAGTAGACATGAGACCACATTGAGCCATCTCCTCTTCGATGCTAATCCAGTGACAAGTAAATATAGTTTTTGAAAAGAACAAAGAATAACAGCATATGGTGTTTGGCAAAAAAAACAAACATCATCCCTGCCTCCCTCAATGATTTCACATTTCCACCAAAGAGCTAAATAACTGCCATTAACTTGCGCAGGTGAAATAGACGGCAGATGGTGTTGATGAAATGTAAGAATAGAGTCTGCAGTTTAACAACTCTATTCTGCTGCTATCAATTCACTAAGCAGTCGTGTTTCTCTCCCAAGGTGCGACACAACAACACCAAAAACTAATTGTCCCTCATCCCCTGGCAGTTATTGGGATGTAAGAAAAACAAAACGCTCAGTTGGATTGATGGGCTAATCAATGAGAACGTAACTATGGCAACGGTCTGTCAGGCTTTAATTGGATATTTCTGGCTCTCAGAGCCAGATTGATAGAGACCAGGATTGCCCAGAGATCCTAATTTAGTTGGCCAGATACTGTTGAGATTAAACTAAGGAGCAGCTGTATGGATCTATTTGACCTGTTGTCCTCTATTAACCACAGACAAACAAGGCTCAGGATCTATAGCCAAACTAGCAGCTCTGTGAGACTTTACTTACGCTGCTAACATCAGCATGCTAACATTAATGTCATAACAATGCTGACATGCTGATATTGAACCAGGTAATGTTTACCTTGTCCATCATCATCACTAACATGCTTACTTTGGCTAATTACCACTTAACACAAAGTACAACTGAGGCTCATGGGAATGTCATTAGTTCTGTAGGTATTTGGTGATAAAGAAGAGCTTAAGGGATCACCAAAGTTATTACAATTCATCACCAAATTTTATGGCAAACCAATCAACAGCTGTTGAGGCATTTAACTGAAAACCACAAACGTTACCCTCTTGGTGGTGCTAGAGGAATACTCAGGGAACCATCTGGGAATCATGAATGTTTACTCTAAAGCTTGTGCCAATCCTTTAACTAGACCTTGACCTGCAATAGATGAAATGCCTGGGGATCATCAATTTACTAGGTTTCACCCTTTGGGCACAATGGATGACTTTCCAGGCAAACCATCCAATAGTAAATAGACTTTTCACTAAAAGTGAAAAATGTCAACCTGCTAGTGGTGCTAAAGGGAAAGTCTGGGGATCAAAAAAGGAAGCAGGATTCATCCTCTGGAGACCAGGAATGTCTGCACAAAATTTCCAAACATTCTATATGAGTTGAGTTATTTCAGTCTGGACAAAGGTGGTGGACAGTCCCAACTTATCAACATTGCATTGCTTAGAGCTATACTGCCAACATGGCTTAAACATGTTATGTTGTAGCTTACAGGTGTTCTGTGGTTTGCCAAAAGGTTGTACTACATAAACCAGTTTAACCAGAGGTTTTCTGTGTGGTTCACACAAACAACAATGGAACCAAATCTGACACAACCAATTGTCTGGTAAGCCATTCAACAAAGAAGACTTCAGCTACATGTGGCGAACACTGTCAGGAACACTTTACTCCAAAATGAAAGCATTTGGCTAGTGTAGCCCTCGTAGCATTTCCCTTCTGTTCAGTTCAGACAAATGACCAACGAAAGCAGCCAGTATGGATTAGGTATTAGGATGCGATAGGCCTCAGTGGTCACAGGAAAGACAAAGGTTTCCTGAAAGTTGAGATTAAACACGGTCGTGACATTTTTTTTTCCTCCAGCACAACACAGCAAAAAGTGATGCAACACATACACACACAATGGAGTTTTTTATCGTTATTTGGCATGTAGCAACCCAGACTGGTAACTTTGAATTAAGTCATCTGGCTGGAGGATGTCTGCTTATATTGGATCAGTGGATGGCCTGAAGCAGTGGCTGTGTTCCAGTGTCTGTTCTGACGTGAAATGAGGAGAAGCAGATTGTTTCTGTGCGTTTCCTTGGGCTCTGGCCACTGTGCTAGGAGAGATGCTAGACCTGATTTTACAAAAAAAAAAAAAAAAAAAAAAAAAAATCTAGAATTTGTATTAGCTATATATTCCTATCTCAAACTATAAAATAAACACCTCTTAAGGGTCAGGTTGATGACAAATAAGTATCACGCCACTATGACCAAAGAGGCAATAACCAAACCTCATCCTCCACTTCATCGATTTCCTAGAAGTATCAGGGTTGCCACAAGATAATTTTGTGTTAGGAGATCACACTGACCTTTAGGGCTTGGGAGCGGTTAGCCAGTAGTTTCTCTATGTTCCCCGCAGCCGTCCCCACCAATTCCGTTGCATTGTTGAACTCCACGCTGAAGTGAGCTTTGTGTGTTTTATATATCTGAGACAATCACAAGAGAACAGACTGGGTCAGACATAAGCAGAAATTCAACGGAACAAATCCATACATCTTTGTTGTTAAGACTTAATCAGTAACCAGAGCTTCTGAATGAAATGTCCACACATAAAAAAACGGACAAAAAAAACAATAGCAGGTTAATGAAACTCAGGAAGGCCAGTTTGAGTAATAGAGTCAGGAGTTTGAAGGGTTACAACAGTTTAGAAAATTTTAAAAGCTGTCATGACAACCCCATTTATGGTAGACAGTTTTCAACTAAGAATGTGCACTTAACACTTTTTCTTTTAAAATTAATAATCTGGCATTTTATCCCTTCATTAAATACAAACAGAAAGTATTTCATTGACCCACTCATTTGTTGCCTTGAATTGCATCAAAAACTTGAGCCAGATTAAAATTTTTGCTGAAGCTCTCTTGGCACATGATGATGGGAGGTGGGAAGGGAAAGGTGAGATCCCAGGGTAGGGGCAGTAAGCAGCATATGGGTACTTAAACGGGCTATTACAGGAAGTGTGATGCTTAAAAATAAAACAAAAAAAATGACCTCAACCAGGGGTTGTCTTTTCAAAGCCAATATTTTCACGTTAAGTTCAGAAAACAAACATGTGGCGCAAAACATACATTGACACGGATGACAAGGATGAAACCTTTCGTGGAAAGGATGATCCCAGGATAACCACTTGGTCATCATGAGGTCATCGTATAAAAATGTGCAGTGCAGATGTGATCATTTCTCAAAAGGATCTTCCTCAAGTCTTCTCAGTGTTCTCCATCCACAGACTTATTGTATCTGAGGCTGAGAGTGTTACTCTGCATCAGTGGTCATCGTCTATTCTTCACCAGATCTCACTGACCAAAGTATTATGAATAAAAAAGGAATCTAGGCGTCCACTGATTAAATTGCAATGTCAGGTTATGTAAGTAGACCATTTACTGTGCTATGGAATATGCTCCAGCAAAAGATATAAGAAACACAAATGCCAAACAGCCAATTATTTAGCAGCCTAGAGGAATTCTATTGTCCGCCATACAAACCACAGGACTGAGGCGCGTGCATGTATTTGTCTTCATCCATCCAAGCAATCTGGATAATTCCTCACATGTATTATTAACGTGCAAGCTGCATAACACTCCCTTTTAAATTCTGCATGCTGTGTACAGTACACTCTGTTTAAACAGGGGTGTCCCGAAAAGCTTCATCTTCTGTTACAACAACAATTTAAACGGATTCAGTTACACAAAATATTGCCAGATATGTTTAACTCTCATTTCTGGTGACAAGCCATGTCACTACATCAAATAAAAACATGCTTTATAATGATTTCAGTGATGTTTTACAGCTGACTGATTATATTCTCAAGGTGAATGAGGAGCAAAAGTGCCAGATGCATCATGTCAATCAATGTGGATCTAAAAAGCTCCCTCTCCTTTGTCAGATATGAGCTTATGCATGAGTGTGTGCAGGGACTATGGCCATCGGAGTATGGTTGTGACGTTGATCTTATCTGAGCGTGTACGTTGGGCTGGCAGACTGAAATGATGCCGTGCTATGTGTAATGAGAAACTTCTATATATAGACTGGTGATGTCTTGTGACAACTGAGGTCGTGCAAGGAGCCTTAATGAGAGCGAGAGAAGTGACAAAAAGTGCACATGATGGTTCTTGTCGATACTGAATCTGTGATTTACTTAAGGTGAAATCAAAATTCATTTAGCTAAGTCAGACATCAGTATACCCTTGGTGTTTGTTTTGATTTGGGTAACCTACTTTTTTGATCCAAATTGAAATAACCAACTTTGGGTGCCAAATTTACCCATTATTCTCACTTGTGATTTGACAACTCCCTACATTACTCAATCACAGGGTAGTATTCTAAGCAGAATACAAACTGAATAGCACAGTGGGTCCTTCCAAATCTTAATGGTGTTAAGGGGAAGCTAGCTGAAATGATACATAACTAATGCTAATTAATGTTTAGTTTATTGAATATTATTATTATTATCATTATTATTTATCCTGATTCTGCTAATTAAGATAGCTTAAAAAGGGGAAATAAGGTTCTTATATCAATGTACTGGCTTTACAGGACTATAGTCAGTAGCCCACCACAGAAGTTGACAGTGTGTCCCCTAGCAATGCTAACCCTCAAATGTCAGTCAACTGCTGCCATGAAAAACCTAAAGCCTAGGTGCTGTTTCCACTCTAAAAACTGCTTTCATTCCATACCACTGAAAAATGTGCACAATACCTGCATCATCACAGTATATTTCCTTACACAGAAAGTAAGGAATTCAAATTTCACACTCTGCTGTAACAGTTTAAATCAGTGTGTGTGTGTATGTGACACTAAGTCTTGCTTACCTGTATGAGGTCCTGCAGGCCACTGGCTGTGTCTGTTAATGTGACCAACTCTTTTTGCATCTGGTCCACCCATTCCTTTACCCTGAGAACACACAAATAAGAATGAATTAGCCAGTCAGATCTCATCCAACAAAAAGCTTCCTCAACGGCCTGCACAGTCTGACCACATTTTGTTGAGCTGCTCCAATTTCATTTATTTTGAATCCAACCCCCGTGATCACATGACCTGAAGTGAGCTTTATACTCCTTACCATAACAATATGCTAAAAAAGCATAGGGAAGGGAAGCATGAAATAATAATGCTTAGCCAAGTGAATACATTGCTCTATTCCACATGGGCTGTGCATTATGGTGAGAGCTATTCATAGTTGTCAGCATGAGAGTGTCACATCCTCTGGAGTGAGATGCTAGTTAATGTATTCTTCTGAAGAGAAAGAGCACAGAAAGGGATAGAGACATAAAAGAGAGGGACAAATTTTCATTTATCAGGGTTTAGAGTTCGTTTTATATGACTTTGACACACTTTTAGTAAGATCAGAACATATCTATAATTTCTTGACTCAAGTAAAAACGTATTTACCCTTGCTGCATTTCAAAAAGCTCAGCATCATTAACCAGTACTATGCTATGATCTCTATGTAATGTCCCTAATATCTAACCCGTACACAGGACACTAGTTCCTTATAGGGAACACTTGATGTTCAGTTCAGTTTATGTGTGCGTGTGCACGAGTGTGGAGTCTATATGAGACCAAGCCCACCATACCCCCTAACTGTCAAAACACCGATGAATCTCTTTACATGGCAGGTGAGACGTGACACGGCTACACACCCCACAAGTTATTTATGTTTATTTCTAAAAATGAATGAGGCAGACTTACTTTATTTAGGCAGTAACAAAACTCTTGATTACATATCAATTTGCCCTTCAAAGAAATAATTCAAGGTTTTGGGAAAAAGGTCCACAGGAAATAAAATCCCTTTTACAACCACAATACTTGTGTCAACGTCCTGCTGCTGAATGGTACATAACATGTTCTGAACCTGCTGAAAACAATACACTGTAAGTGCACCTTCAAACCCTCCACCAGCTCCTTTACAACAGCCAATAAAAAATACATGACATAATCCATAAAGAAAATTGCCTTTTCTCCCCCACAGTGTGAATTAACCTTTTCACCTTCCACACTGCTAAGGGGCCTATGACACATGACACGTCTATGTTATCTTATTTAAAAAATACAGTGTAATGTGAGCAGGGTTAGCTCATGCTGGAAATGTGTGGCATAACAGCCACATAGTATATTTAGCCTTCTGAGAGACAGCTGCTTGTGGCAGAGGACAGATATAGGGTGTGCCCAGTGTCAGCACATAACTTTTTGGACCCCCAAGTCACAATTATGTGCCTGCATATCCACAAACACACGTATACTGTATATGGGAAAAAACGAGGATATAATCTCCTACAGATTGCTTTAAAATGGTTGAGATAAGGTGCACTAACCATAGCGAGCAGGTGAGGTTGTTATGCTTTCCAAATGTGCCCATTTTGCCTTAAGCAAGAAGAGTGGGGCTTTCCAACAGGTGTCTAATAGGAAAATACAGTGAGTGTCTGTTTGTAGGTGATAAGTTGATGTTCATTATCAGTCCACTCATTCAATATATTTTTACCCCCTTTTCTAAGTGTATCACAGCATAATTTCATCAAATCTACTGTAAGTGTGACACATTTAGTGTTGCAGAACACTCATCCTTAGTATGTCATTTCTGGATAGTGACAGCTCTGTCATGACCTAGCCGACACCAAGTCTGTGTTTGCAGAACCCTGATGAGGAGAGGACAGTTACGCTAAAATGCCTAACTACAGTAATTGTGGTTAGAAGTGATTAGTGCCCTCACTTGTCTGTAGCAGCTTGGAGCTCCTGCACGAGGTCAGTTTGTAATGTAATAAAACTCTCTTGCTTACTTTGTGCTGGAATTTTTAAATCTCTCTGATCTTGGTTTAATACAATCTCCTGGGTAAAAACTGAAAGGCTAAGCAGTGTCCTGATTAGCCAACTTCCACAAATAACCATCTTCCTCTTATCAGTCAAAAGCATACAACCCCTGCATAACACCAGAGTGTGTGGCTTCCTCATAAATAAAGAAAAAACTGATTATGTGTGTCTTAAAGAATAGAAGCAGATGAAGGACATTGGAAAAGGGTTTTTTAAACAAAGAATGTGTATTTGATGAGAGGATGGAAACTTGGAGCAGAAAATGGGAAAATGAGATAGCATCATAATCCTTGGGGAAATTTGAGGGGGAGGGGTCGACGGGAAAAGGAAGGAAGCCTCCAAAATGGCTGGTGAGCCATTCGGATACAGTGGTGGCAGACTGCAGGGCTCGCAAGGAGAGGAGCCATGAGAAACTCATCCAAGTGTGAGACCTGCTGGCGATACAAGCCTCTTTTCTCTCACACTTGTCTCACTGAGTCATTAATATCATCCATTTATGAAGCAGACCGTTTTTCTGACAGGCAATTGTTGAAGCTCCTTTTTTCTCCTCAACTTCCTTTGTCCTTTTTGGTAGCTGTGGTCACTCATTCTTTCAAATCTCAGTTTTTCTGCTATATACGTTGCCGCTGCTGCAATGTCACAACTTTACAGAAGGCTTTTAATTTGAAACTATGCAGCAGGGACATGTGGTTGGTGACAACCAGGTGAGGCGAGAAGGAGAGAGAGAAAGAACAGATAAAGAAAGAGAAGAGAGAGAAAGCTAGATTCAACTTAAAACTAAGATTAATGTTGCATTCATGTGGTCCTCGGATGGTCCGATTTCCCCAGTTGGGAAGTCATTCTTCCGACTTCAATGTGTTAATGTGCTTTTAAGTCGGACTGTGGAAACAACATGGAAGAAGATGTGCTGTATTTTATTGCTCAGAGCATTAAACCAACACACTGATAGCTGTTTCCAGTATTTGGGTTACTTATCAGGAATACTGTAATAAATAACTTATAACCAGTCTAGGTTATTCTACGCGGACAGCGACAAACAGTTACGACCTGATACCATATTACAAATTAAATGTTAGCAAAGAAGTTGACATGCAATACATGAATTTGCACCATTAGTGTCTCACCATCAACCAAATGTTCACTTTCATCCACCATGTTTCTGTTTAAATTACTTCAGCAACCTGCTAAGTTGGACGGAGTTTTATTTCCTACTGATATTCACCCTGATTGATGGCGTACTACACGGGCACCACTCCAAACCCATCAGTGAGACTGGCCATCAGGACCCCACCCCACCCCCGCTGCTGACAAAAGTCCTAGCAGAAACACTGAATCTGTAGAACTGTGCAAAGTACAGAAGCACAGCCTACTTGCGATTATACTGCGTCTCAATAACTGATTATTCAATTTGGATCAATGAGGCATAACATGAGACAAGACAATCATTGTCTTGGACTTTTGTCACTCAAGACATTGAACACATGAGCGTCGAGTAGCTCAGTTGGATGAGCATCCGCCCCATGTGTAGAGGCTAAAGTCCTCGCTGCAGTTGGCCCCGGTTCGAGTCCTGCATCAGACATCCCTTAGCTGCATGTCATTCCCCCTCTCTCTGCCTCCCCATTTCCTGTCTCTCTCTACTGCACTATCAATAAAGGCACAAAAAAGCCAGAAAAAATCAAATTTAGAAGACGTTGGACACATGATATTCAAATGTCAATAACATTAAAACTATTTTCCTTCCCAAGGTAGTTGCTTGTATATTGAATGAAGGATACCCAGGTAGAAAAATACAGCCTGCCTATACTTATGCCACATGCTGAGAGTCAGGCCCATATACAGCACGATTGTTAGATGCTACTTCCACATCTGGCCCAATTCTGGCGCACACACAGAAAATCTTCCAGCTGTCAGCCAGCCAACACTGGAGGATGACAGCCAGAATCTGCCCAGATGTGGAAGCATACGGGCCAGGCTCGGACCGAGCACCCAGGCATATGTTGGGCCTGAAGCTTCATTTTGACACATGGATATCCAACTGTTGCAGAAGCAGTAAGGCTTTGTGTTTGACCAGACGTGATATCAGCTTTTCATCCCCAACCACTAAGGTTCTCAACGCTATGGACATTGTAAGTGAGTAACATAAACTGGCTTTAAATAAATGTAGCTCACTGTTTCAGGTAAGGAATACCTATCAGACTGGATATCACTTTGCTGTCACTTGCAATATCACTATGACAATCTCACACACACACGCACACACTTTGGACCAGACACGTTAGACCTGAGATGAGAAGGTCTGATACCTGTTTCACTTTCACGTTGTTTACGACAGTGCAATGCAACTCATGGTGCATGCAGTACAGATCAGCACAGGTTCACTGACTTTAGAGAGTTGGAGACACACTTGGTAGGAGTTCAGACGAACAGATCATCTGATATGAAGGCTCCAACGCTGAAAAGATGACATTAAAATTTCATCAAGTTCTTTCCATGTCCTCAGTCACAAGCACAAATGTGCCAGTGAGTTAAATGGTGTGAAATTAGATGAGGTGCTTGTGAGTGGTGTCGATATTATCCCTCATAGTGCCACACCACATCACTGCTCCATCCTCGGACCGATTCAGAAAAACACACACAAGAAGACATACCATCTATAAGTCAGCAGACACACATGACACTTTCTGACTAATGATTTGGCTCATGTTACGACTAGACTGGTGAGCATGTGTCTTAATTTGTGCTTCACTCCTATTGCCTTGAGTACAGTGGCTGATGGGTAGACAAAGTAGCCCCCTAACCCCCCCCTCCTCTCATTTGAGCCTCCCATCACGCTAATGACTGGAAGAGAAGCTGCCTCTTTTAGGCCAGCTGTCACGTGTATGTGTGTGTGTTTGTACGCCTACATGCGCGTGTCGACGCCTGTATGTAACCAGAGCACTGGGTCTTTTAAAGGGCAGTAGGGGGTTGCCCAGGGTCAAAGGTCACCAGGACAGGTGCAGGTCTTTTGACGAAGCTCTTAATGTAATGAAGTGGGTGTGAACCATTTGTGCGTGTGTAGAATCAGTTTTAACTCACCATTTAGTGAT